AATGACATACTTGCTCTCTTATTCAGCCACTGTGTTAAGCCAGATGTACAAACTGTGGAACACACATGTGGAGCCCAATGTTTTACTTGGTACCCAATTAATACTTAAAATAATGGTAGTAAGCTACTTTTACCTTGTGTGTGAAGGTTTTTCCTTAGTGAAATTGTAATATATCGTCCACAAATGCAGTAGAAACTGTTAGGATGATTTTTTTGCACTTTTGGATTTCATTTGAACTGGAAACAGCCAGCATTTCAAATGATTTCCTAAAAATATATAAAACAATTTATGTTTACAGAACTAGAGTTTAAATGATTTTAAGAAACAAAGTTTTGCAGAATTTCATTTTATCACGGGCATGATGTGAAGAAGATCAGACTTTGTTTTGATTGTGCGTGGAGTGAGTGGGTGAGAGAGGTGTCTGACGCCACCCCTTTTACGATCAGTGGAGGGTCTTCTCGAATGTTCCAGCAAACTGAGCACATAAAGATTTCGTGAATCCCAGGCAGAGCAAGTGAGCATGGGAATGAAGCAAAAGTAGTGCAATTCGCTACAATTATATCGAGAACAAAGAGCATATATAAAAAATATGTTTGGAATTTTACAATATGATACAGTCAATTCACTAAACTTTTTCCATATTTTTTCGTTTTTATCTGATTTAATTTCTTTTATTATGTTTTCCTCTTGTAACTAATCACATAACTTTTTAGCAAAAAATAAATAATTTATATGTTTGCCCTTATAGAAGATAACAAAATGATGAAACATATTTCTTATCAACGATATCTTTATTCTCTATTAAAGTATTTCATTCGATATTTTCCAGTTGCAATTTTTTGTTGTCCAGTGTAATGAAAAGTTTTAAATATATTTGTATATTTCGAAGCTATTAAGGCTATTTGCCATCATCTTTAATTTTTAAATGCCAACGACTGGAAAGGCAAATGGCCAGCAACACTCATTGCCAACTCTTTTACTAATGAATAGTTGTACTGACCAACACATTAAATGCCCCTAGAGTTGAGAGGTATGTTCAGCGCTGGGTTCCAACTCCAAGACCCGCAAACTGTGAGTCAAGTGCCCTAATCCTTGACATGTAACATAGTGTGAATTTTATATATTACTCATTGATATAATCTGAACGAATATTACTTTTGAACATAACAATTGATTATATATAAGTACAGCGAAGCTTTGAACATGTTATATTTAATAACTAACCATTTTGCTGCATTGTGATGTAGGGCCTGTGACGTTATCTCCGTGAGTTGTTCCATAGAAGGATGGTATATGCTAACCTTCTTTCTCTATATTCCCACACAGCTGTATTTGCCTTAGCTCTACAAATAATGCATTCCATAGGAATCCTGAAGTTTTCTATTGGTTACATTACATGTTGTGCAGGTCACAAGGCAGAGTCATGTGACTAGTGCATATCTTCAGCAGAATAACAGGCTTTAGCAGAAGTCCAGGGATAAACCCTGAGGATTCTCAAACAATCACTGTGTTACTTCTGCAGTTGCTTGGTCATGATAGACTGAAAAACAAAACAAAAACAATGCTTTCAGTTGAAAAAACAAAGGTTTCTCCTTCTTATCATTCCTGAAACACCAAAGCAGTGAATTTCAGAGGAGCTCTAAAAATTATGTCAAACTAGTGCCTATAAGGTGTAATTGTGTGTGTGTATATTAAGATGGAAACTGTCAATGAAAGTAGAATCCCTAAAAATCTTGAAATCACGAGTCAAAGAATTCCACCATATCCTAAGAAAAGTTTTTTAATGAAGCAAAAAAGCACATTATATTAAAATATCAAAAATAAAAAACACAAGGAGGGTATAAAACTGCTGCCACAGTGTAATTAGGTAATATAAGACAGAAGTAATGTTTTTTCCAAAATTATAAATTAATTATGAATACAGGAAAATAATAGAGAATTTTAAGCTCACCAACAATGATTTTTAACATAATGAAAGTATAGATTGCTAAGGGATAAACAAGGCTAACTAAGTTATTTCTGATTCCTATTGTTACGTCTCTGTTCGTTTGTTAATTTCCCGTAGAAATTCTTTCCAAGAAACTTCAGCGATACAAGTCCTTTCTTAATTAAAACTAGTTTATTATTTCTCGATACAACTTTATAATACACAGAATTTTCAGTCACTTTAACTTAAACACACGCTTTAATTCACAACGATTCACGCACTTTACTTATGGTCACTACCGCTCAATTGACTCAGTTATCTGTCTCTATATCTCCCTATTTGCAATTCCATCTCCGCTTTATTTGCCGGGCTTATATACTAAAATAGGGGGCGCCTGGAAAAGACTAGAGTTGCCATGCCATGAAAGTGATGATCCTTCTAGAAACTCATGACGTGTTAGCAGCATCACCTTACTTCCGCTGTCGTAACACTATGTTAAACTCAAATACTCTAAATATGTGAATAGGCCAAGAAAACCAACTGAAAACTAATACTATGAAAACCTATTAGTGTAGTCACTGTATCAAAAAAAAAGAGGAGGATGAAACGAAATATATCTTGTCTTACAATAAATCATAGATGGTAAAAATAGCATATTTAATATATTGTAAGTTCTATACATTAGAATATGTTTTTACAAATGATACATTTATCAATATTACTTTATTTTTGACATACTTTGAAATACTGTCTTCAACTGGTATGACCGTTTGAATAAGTATTGTTACGTCTCCGTTTGTTAATTAATTTTCCGTAACTTCGTTCCGACGAAACTTTAGCGACACAAGTCCTTACTTAATAAAACTGGTTTATTCTTTCCGAATATAACTTTACGATACACTTGATTTCAACATTCGCGCTAGAACAAACACTATAACGAACGAACGTTAACTTCAACAATACTCTCTGACTGAAGATCAATTACTCACTACCTACCATTGTCCCGTCACATCTTATATATACCAGACTACCCCCCCCCCCCCCAAGCTAGGAAGGTTCGAGAAAGAAGTGGCGTGACACTAGTCACGTGACCTCGCTGACGCAACAGTATGCAGTGTTATATGACTTATGAATAAAAAACAGCCTGTCAAGAGTCAACGTGTAAATAATCAATGGTAATTTGGATTTTCTTGATATTACTGTCTTTAACTGATGTTAGTATTGTATGTTTGACATCAGAAGATATTACTACTGCACAAAATTCATTAATGACATTACTATAGGTCTTTATATATTTTAGCAATACAAAATACTGTTATTCATGAAGAAATATTATAAATACATAAGGTTACATAATAGAAATAATAATTTAGATATATTGACAATTTTAGAGAAAACTAGACTTATTAGTTGGATTAAATACTGCTAGATTATGAAATTTATAATACTCAGGAAAGTAAACTTTTAACTAATGCAAGAGTAATTGGTTGGAAACTTTGGTAATGTTCTGTGTGTATTTTCTCACTTATAGATTCTTAGAAAATCTTAATGAGGTTCAATAAAAAAAATATAGAATGCACGTCACATAGTCTAAGTTTGTATAATATGTAAACTATACGTGTATCATTTTATCTAATACTAATAACATAGTTGGACAATATTTTTGGATTAGTGTAACAAACGTTATATGTGTAGTGAGGAATCTACTAATCTAAATAATTAACTTTTACTTTTACTACAGGCAAGTTCTGATTTTAATAATTACAATGTTTCAACCAATAGTATCAAGTCCCCATCCTGTAACATTTAAAAAGGCCTTACAGACTAGCAAATTCTTAAGCCTTTACCATCAAATGAGGCCCACTTATAGGGGCATTCACACTCCTTTGCTGCTTAAACCATTTTAGGAAGGTCTGGCATGGCCTAGTGGTTAGGGTGCTCGCCTCACAATTTGCAGGTCTCAGATTTGAATCCCCATCACTGAACATTCTCACCCTTTCAGCAGTGCAGGTAATATAATATGATGGTAAAAAGAGTAGCCCAAGATCTGGCAGTGGGTGGTGTTGCATAGCTGCCTTCCCTTTAGTCTATCACTGCTAATTTAGGGATGACTAGAGCAGATAGCCCTCAAGTAGCTTGCACAAAATTCAAAACAAATCAAACAATTTTAGCAGTGCTTCCATACATGTTTAATTTTAAAGCCGCTTTGCTCAAATGCACTGAATATTTTATCTCTGTTTTTACAAATGGTACACAAAATTGAATTTACAAAATCATATTTAGGGCAAACATCAGCTTTCTTCTTACCATTTTTAATTTCTCTTATGACCTTTACCTGTCTCCCACATTTAAAGTTTTCTTTTACAATTTATGTAGATAGTACAGTTACATTCTTATTTAATTTAATATACAAGCTTTATTAATGAGGATAACTGTTTTGAAAATTATGTTTTTTTTTAATATTAAATTTCCTTTTCATGAATTTAATATTATTGATTTGATTTACACAGTAGAAAAGTTTACCACTGGTCAAAGCACATCTCTACAATTATGAAGTCTCATTGCAGAATGTTTTTCAATGCAAATTCCAGGTAGCAAAATGCTGACCCAAATTCCAAACTACCAGCCACTGGTTGGCGACCAGCCGGCAGTAACTACTGTTAATTTTTAGTTCATTATTATTTATTATTGTGCACCTTTTTATTAGTATTGCTATTACAATATTTAGCTAGTATGCAGATTTTAAACATAACTTATTATTGAAAACAATTCTTTCTATAGCTAAATAGATAATAACAGATTCATAAATAATAGGGTGAAGAAAGTTTTAACTGGCAAAAGATTTAAAGTAATATGTGTGATATAGCATTATAGTCATGTGAAAACGGTTTAAAACACATTTAATTAAGTATATGATAACTGCCTATATTCGATGACAACCTAAAAGGTCCAAAAGTTGTGGATATTTTACTTCCTGGTGGGTTTATTTTATTATAATATTATCAATACAGAGACCTGGTATGTCATTAATCATATTCAAACAACACATACACATAAAAGAAGTTATTACTGATTGAAAAGAAACTATATTTATTACACACAAAATTGGTCTCAATAAGAATATTGTTAGCAAAAATCACCATACCTAGCCAAATAAAGGTAACTGTAACACTATTTTGAAAGGTGACATCCTGGGTCACCAATGAATCTATCATTTTGCAACGTGTTATTTATTATTTATTGCCAAAAGTGCTGGCTACTACAAACAGAATAATAATTTTTCAAAAGAAACGTTTTTTTGGTTGGATATGCAAAATGGAACCTTCTGATCAACAATATAAAAACTGAAATTGTAGACAAAGGGAAGTGTTTTTAGTGATTTTTTCTAAAATAGTTTCACAATAAAAATTTTGAAATTTCACATCATAAACAATGCTAGAAATACTAAATCAAATTATATGAATTTATTTACTCCAAACTAAAAACATAGTATGTTTATATTGTTTTGTGCAACTTAAGAATTTCCATTGTGAAAATGACAGAATAAGGGGATATCAATAAAACACCTCTTGACTTAGTTGGTCCATTGGACCCAGGCTGTATTGGAGAACTACTGCTTACTATAATTCTGAATTAACTAAGTGTATTTTTAAAAAATTTGGTAAGTTTTTAGTAAACATGAAAAGTCTGTTGCACAAAGAGAAAATCTGAATTATTAATTGAAGTATTCTTACTAATGATTCGCATCTGGTTTCATTTAGTTTTATTAGACTGTACTTAGACTTTCTCAGAGTATATTATTTCTTACAGGAGGACAGCTTTGTGTAAACTATGTGTGTGCATGGTTGCCTCAATGTAGGATCTGAAGTATCAAGAGAATATATATATTTTTACCTCTTATGTGTTCTTATGAAACCTAAAAAGATCCTAATTTTTACATTTTAATTATTTGTATAACAATAAATAAATATTATACATAAAAAACAAAAATTGAAAATGAGGTGCTGTAAACCTACTTTTTTGTGACAATGTTTGTTTGTCCACAAAAGTAATTCATGTTTATTTTAAATATATATTTTAGAACATAAAAAGTATCAGTGAAGTACAGTTGAATGTCTCAAAACTACTATAATTTAGCTGGCTTTCTAACTAAGCTATAAATAGGTTCAACAAGTTCTGTTAGCTGCTTGAAACTGAACACTACAATTGGATGCAATGAAACTGAGCGAAAATATCTACTTACAGGCAGCAAAACAAGATAACTAATATAAGGAACTTTGTAAAGAAAATGTGCTCTTTTTATTGGTTATAAGCAACTTAATAGCACTTTTAGAGAAAACTGGTGGCATGACAGAATGGTATAGAAGAGCATGTCATGCGAGTTTGACAGAATGGTATAGAAGGGGCATATCATGTGAGTTTGACAGAATGGTATAGAAGAGGCATGTCTTGTGAGTTTGTATTTTAGTCGAAGAAAATGATTGGAGGTTCGAAATTTATATTCTGGCTTGTCAATATCTATAGTACGAGTTTGTAGTTAGTGGATACTCTGAAACCCATAAAAGGTAAAAAGAAAATTTAAATGGTCAATTCACAGCACAAGAGCATCATGTGACACAGACAAGTTAAGACTGTGTATTTATTCAAGCTTTCCCTTTGAAATTAAAACTTATACAAAAATTTGTATTACAAACTACAATTTGATACCAAGCTTACATTAAGGTTTTCAAATTAAATTTAGAATAAAGTAAAATTTCATGATGTGCATTTTGACCCTGCAGTAAATATAGCATTGAATAAGTTATATTTTATATAAATTCTACAAGTCAAAAATAAGACAGAAGAAAACCTTTCACTTCTATAAAAAATAGTTACATAGCCAAGTGAGACAATGTGTAAGTAGGAGTTGTGATTATGAGAAGAAAAATATCCTTTTAACTTCTGGAAAAAGAGGACTTGAGTTGTGATTGTTTTAATTCTATATTTCCAATAAACTGTTGTATCTAACTTTCAGTTTTTCAATATCCATAATCCGGTTTTTGAGTATATTAATTTTTTTTTATATATATTGTTACATCTTATAATGTGTATGAGTAAATACTTTTCTACTTCTTATTAAGTAGAATAATTTCAACAAATTTACAACTTTTTTAAAGATTTTACGAGAGAAAAGAAAAAATAAGGCTAAACTTTTTCCAAACAGACCATTCTAAGGTATACATCCACCAAATGTAAATACACACATATATTACAATTCCCAGATGTTGTATTTTTAAAGAGAAAGGTGGTTGCAATGCATTAAATATATACCTTAATAAATCATTTTATCACTATTTCTTTAATTAATAAATCTGTCCAAATCTGGATCCACTGAGTTTTCCCATTTGGCATTTAAATCCGAGGCAACATCTGTGAAGAGTATGTTCCATGTCCATGGCAAGTCTTCCTAGATAAGTAACAGTTTTTATACGTTGAATATCAAGAATCCACAATATATTTTACATATCTTTGCATTGTAAGCAACAAAAGCAGTTCATAATTAATAATTTATAAATAATCTGTGATAATAAATTCCAGTTAATTGGAGCCACTTTTTACCATTCATTTTGTTTTTCAAGTTATACAAGTAGATATAGCCACATTTTTTGTTTGTGATGTTTCTAGAAATTTACGTAACTTTCATTACAATAAAAAGAAGGTGAACAAAGAAATGACTATTTGAAATAATAATAGCAGTTTGTTGTCAATAACCAGCATTTTAAATTTCACCGTATTTCTGAATCACTAAAAAAAGTACATGTATCAAAGAACTTCTGGAGAAACAACAGGAGAAAATAAAAATTACTAACATAAAATTCTTTATATATAACACTAAAAAATTAAATATTACATTGAGGATTTATTTCACACTTAAAGTAATTGTAGTTGGTTTTAGGAATAGAGTGTTATAAAAAAACAGGTAAACTATGTTCATAAAATGTATTTCATAGACCAGTACATACATGTTTTATCTGTTTTTATTGGGGATTGTTTCAAGAATGATTAATTTCAGAATGCAAAACATGCCCAAATCTATAACTAAATATAATTGTGTGTACATCTTGTGATTTGAAATAGGGTTATAACAGACACCACTCTTGGCCTGTTCCTTATGTATACTTTAAATATAATTGTCTCACCATGATACAATACCCAAACAACCCAGATGAAACGAGCAATCAGACAGATTGCATACCCTCACCCTGCTACTCCTTTTTGAGACATTATGCATTTATATTGGATAACATAAAATTTCATCTTCAAAAACTCAGAAAATTCTATTCAGATCCATAATGATCTGAACCATTTTTCTAGTGTAATGAGAAGTCTCAACCTTAATATGCCCATGAAATTTGGTAAACATCTGATCACACTTCACAGAATTATTAACCCCAAACTGCAAAAATGCCCTATCTCCCCATTATAAAAATGCTTCAAAGTGATCCAAAATCTGGATCAGGACCAAACTTGGAGAAGATTGTCCCATTCCAACTTATCATCATATGTAAAACTGGTATATTAGTTTTCAATATATGCAAATGGACTACAATACCCTTGCCACTCCCCCACTGGGGATGAGGGTAATTATTTCACACTTATACCTTACACAGACAAAATAGTAACATAACTTCAACCAGCATCATTCATTTAAAAATAGACATATTAATGCAAATGGAATTAATAGAAGAAAGCAATTATCTATTTAATATTTTTCTTAAAAAAAGTGTAGCATTTTAAAACAGTTTAACTTTACATGATTCATGCATAGTCTGCACATTCACAAAGATGAGGGAGTTGAGAAATGCACAGATTCAGCCTATTACCTATATAGACAAAGTGTGTGATTGTTTGCACCCTAACTCCTCTGAGCCTATTGGGCCAATCTCAACCAAAACTTGAATGTAAACACTATGAACTATGGAGAATGTCCTAAGGAAGTGAAAATTGAACTTAACCCTATTTCTATTTTGTAAAGCCTGTTGGCTAATTACTCCCAGCCTATAGAGTCAATCTCAAACAATCTTGGCAGGTTGATGCTTTAGTCAATGCTGAATATTCTAAAGGGATTCAAGGTCAAAGTATGAAAGCTGATGGACTGTTTCACAAACAACCATGCTTTTTTTCATGGTCATTGAGATGTAGGGTGTTCAAGGGTGGGATCCTCTCAAAATCTTTAATTTTTGGTAGATGGAAAGCAAACTGCAAATGTTTTATATGAAGAAGCTTTGTTATAATTTTTAAATTTTGAGAAAAAGTTTATGCCCAAGTTATTATTTTGAAATATATGATTGTTGTTAAACTTACATTGTTTTAATTAAGTTTAAACATTCCACATCAGCTGACATGTATTTCTGCTTGTAGTACCTTAAAAACAATTACCGTATTTTTTGGAATATATGACGCACCCTTATTTTGAAGA